AAGCGATACGTCAAAGTAGAGGAATGGGTATTTGTATCTATGTGCAGAATGACCGGTCAAATAATAGCATAGAGTGGGCGGCATCTGCTCTCCAAAACGAAGAGCAGTGGCCGGCCAAATGCCAAGCTAACTAACAGCTAGCTAGCCGGTGTTAGCTAGCACCACTAGCTAACAGTGGTGATTGTTACTGCTGTCTGGATGCTAACGTTAGCATAGCTCTTAAAAGAATAACTTTTTGTCACTGTACACGTACAACGAAATTGCGGGTGCGCCACACCAACTGTGCCGGAATATAAATAGTAGACATCAAGACTAAATAACAAAGAGGAGAAATCTGTACAATCAGACTATCATCAGTCTCACCCTGGTTTCATATCATAAAAATGAGATTTTAATCAGGAAAACCTGAAGTCTGTACTTTTAAAATTATGTCAACACGTGTAGTCTCGGACTATGGGCGAAACCACACTTGAAACTATTAGAACTATTAAAACTTGTCCTGTGGAAGCACACCCACAACTACAGGACTGCTTTAGAGCCTGGCTGAATACGCAGTCATTTTTGTCCTAGTGCTGTGCTCATAGCACCACTTAATGATATTAAAGTTTATCAACATATTTTAGTCCACGACGATTTACCTCTACGTACCTCCACTACGCTTGTTATTATTATTATCTACAATCCTTTGCCATTCAGTGCAGGGTGACATTTGAGACAGTAGGTGGCGCCATTGTCCCTTTTAACCGAGAACCTGCACCTTTACAGTTCTGTCACACAAAGTGGACATGAATGACTACTGATGGCTAAGGCTAATTTACACCATTGAGCCCTACACTACAAAATGTGATTGATTTAACACTTTGAAGCTTGATTTAATAAATGTTTGTGCCTGTACAAAATATGATGTGGCAGGGTTGATTGGTTGCTGCTGCAGTAAGCAACAAAGAGTTGAATTGAAACTGGGTGTTAAAAACAATAGTGTCAGAATTAGTGATGGGAAGTTCTTGTGATGGAAACGGTAACTGTGAAACTGAAAAAATCTACTAAAAAGCACCTAAAGGAGGTTACTTTTGTACTGCCACTGGCTGCAAAGACTTCTATCCTAATAAGCATATACTGCTCGCTTTCTGTCTTTTAGCAATAAAACTTGAGTTACACTTCTGTGGGAAATTTAGGGCTGGGTATCATCAATGATTTCTAGATTTGATTCGATTCTATCTGAATTGGGGAAATTTTGCCTCAGACAGTCAGAAATATTAGAAATTTGATCATTTATCAGTACTGACAAGCAGAGGCGGAGCCAGACATTTGAAACACCCGGGGCTTAGCCCTAAAGGGTAGTATGCATGTGGGATTTTTTTTTTTTTGGGGGGGGGGGGGGTTAGAAATGACTGAAAGATTAATTGGCTCTGTTTTGAGTTTTGTTCAAAAAAGAATGACTTCATATAGGGAAAAATATATATCACATATGCAGGACACCTTAAACTAGTTTTTTAATTAAGCAGCAAGGCAGAACAAAGTCAGGGCTGTATCAAGACACGAGGACTAAACCCCAATTCAACCAGACCCAGAACTGATCCAGAATTAAAACAGGACTACAACAGTTCAAAATCAGGACTACTGAGGACTTAACCAAGACAGAACCAGAATCAGAACTAGATGATAGTAGCACTAAAAATCATCATAGACCTGCACTACACTTATTTTTTTAATTCTACCAAAGTACAATATTTAGATTGAGAAAAGTTTATATAATTATTATAATTTGAAAAATAACAAACCTAAAAAGAAACACTAGGTACGAGATACATGAGGACCTATGATACGGTGATACTTTTGGTAAACAACCATTTGACTAACATGTGTGTCTCACCTGCTCTTGTTCATCTCTGTTCTGTCCTCATTCTCCTCTCCCTCTCTGTTCCTCTCTCTCCCTCTCTGTTCCTCTCTCTCCCTCTTTGTGCTGACAATCATCAAATATACAGTTGAAACCAGATATTTATGTACTCTTCAGATCAAAACACAAACACTTTTTTAATTGTAACATCAAATCAGACTAAATGTTTATTTTTTTAGATTGATAAATATAAAAAACATATTTGTTAACTTTAAGAGTAAAGAGAGAAACTATCTGTATTTCTTAATTGCAAATGGCACCAAATTGTATTCAAACTTGAGCCACACTTATGGAGCTCCACAGTTCTTTTCCTGGTGTTTTGGTTGACATCTCTTGATTTTCCCATGTCACAGAAACAGGCTCTGTGTTTTGCCTTATATGCATCCACAGCTGTGCCACCAATTTACTCACATGGACTCTACTAACCTATCAGAAGCTTCTTCAGCTCAGAATGGAATCGTCTGGAGTTTCTTATTAATTAACAATAAACTTAGTGTATATGTACTCCTAAATTTGATGAAAGTGATAAAAAATAGAAAGCTCTGTCTCTCTTTATTCTGACATTTAACTAATTCAAAATATATTTCAATATTTATCTAAAACAAAAGTTTACTCTAAATTGATGTTGTACAGTAAAAATGTTTTATGTTTTCTCCCTAAAGTGTAAATATCTGGTTACAAATGTGAATATCCTGCTGTGTACTGAAATCCCTCTTGTTTTGCATAGAAATATACTGAACAACATACAAAGCATAATATATAAAATAACATTTACCTGAGTTTTTTCTTTGAAAGAACCCTCTAATGTCCATTCTTATATTTCAGTACATAACTGAAACCGATTTAGTCGGGGAGGGTAAGAACTGAAAATATGAAATAAACACACGTAAGCTAAGACTCTCTAAAAAAATAGCATTTGTTCGGCTTTTCATTTCGCCATTTGTTGATTCACTTGAAGAGCAAGTAACGTAATATTGGTCAAGTGATCAGTTTGATATCAATCTTTCGTGATGCACCGTCATATTTACATTATTTGTACGGTACGAATGATTTGCTTTGGTACCTGGTCAAACTTAAGCTCTCCTTAGTATGGCTGGCTCCGTCTCTCCAACAGCGCACTCACAGGCAGCAGCTGCCCCGCCCCCTCGCTCAGTCGCTTAGTGCCTGAGCTCGGATCATACCAATATCAGGGGGGATTCACGCACAGTCGTAAATTCCCACAGTGTGCACTATGTGCTTCGAATATTGTGTGTACTTTTTGTTTTATACAGTTGTCAGCCAGGCATCTAACTATGAAAAAATTACACTCCAAAAGACCCCGGGCTTCTGACAAAACAACCCGGGCTTAAGCCCAGTAAGCCACCCCCACGCTCCGCCCCTGCTAGTAGCACCAACAGCTTCTCGTCGCAGCTGTAGCCGCTGGACTCGGAGCACACAGCAACCCAAGATGCCTCTAGAGAGGACTACATTGCTTCGCTGGATCGTGATTCCCTTATTCATGCGAATATTCATCTTATTGGCGGTTGCAGGTGAGACCTAACTGTTCCACTGCTCTTGTATTTGACTCCCATTACTGTCATTGTAAATACACGCCTCAAGACTTAAAAATCCTGACAAGGGTGCGAGCACTAACATGGACTAGCTTAGCTCCCGGCTGGATAGAAGAAGGATATCCATAACAGTGAGGATTTCGACAAAAACAGGGGGCTGTTAGGAAGTAAACGGCAGCTCGTGGCACAGTCTTCTGGTGCTTTGTTGACGTTTTGGTTTTAACTATTCTGAAGTTGATGATTAGCATCCAGCAAACCCCAACTCATGCTAACGGACCCCAAAAGGTTGATTCGGTCCATCAGGACGTAGCGTGACGAAACATTCTCCCACTGAAAACGCTGCAGAATCAGCCTTTTGGGATTACTTACCTGGCTGATTGAGCATACATCGAGACATGCTTACAACCTGACTTGGACAGCCAATCTCACGCAAAACTGACTGGGATCATACCATTATGTGAACGAAGGGAGGTTGCCTTACACGGGAACGCGCACAAAGTATGGCGGTGTTGTAAAACAGCTATCTTGAGCGTAGAGTAGCAATCTTTCAGTACTATAACCAGACGTGAAAAACTGCCTCCTTCTCAGTCTGTGCTCCCTGTTTTACTTACCCCGACATGTAGAAACTCTCAACAATACAAGCAAGTGTCTGATCCCTCGCGTAAGCAAACATCAAGACGTTGAAAGCTGCTGACGGGCTCCATTTTTTTTACGCTAAATGATTAGTTAAAATGGCTCCTACATCCAAAGTTAAGCACACACCTTCTTCGTTTGCAGGACATCGTTATTAAACCTTTCATGAAAACTGTTTCCTACCGTCAATTAACGATAACACAGCCGTTCCTCGCGGAAAGAAGCCGTGACGCAAGCCCCGTAGCAGAAGGGCGTTCCCTGTCTGTCTACAGATAGATCCAACGACCAATGGGATGCAGTGTACACCGTACTACAGCTTGTGCTGTGGTTGATGTGTCAGCATTAAAGCTGCAGCGCCCGGATTACTCTCGTTGTTCATATTTGTTATAAGACTGTCGAATAGTAGTTAAAACAATAAAGACCTATTGTGCCAGTATCACCATGACTCTTTCTTGTTTGTTCAGAATAACGACTGAGAACATGGCATTTTAGCGCTACCAAAAAGTGATTGTGGCCTATAACTTGTCACTGAAACAATATTTCGGCTTCAAACTTGTTGGATATATTCCAGAAGGGTTACATGTGATATATTATATCCCAAAAACTCTCCAAGAACTGCTGAATAACTTGTACAGGAACAATAAAACTGATAATATGCAATTTCCAACCTGCCAAAAAGTGATTGCCGCCTATATCTTGTCACTGAAAAATATTTCTGCTTCAAACTTGGCGGATGTCATTCAGAAGGGTCATATGTCAAATATTACATCTCAAACAGTCCCTTAGAACTGCTGGATAACCTGTAAAGGAACATTAACATTGATAATATGCCATTTTCAGCCTGCCAAAAAGTGATTGTGGCCTATATCTTGTCACTGAAACAATGTTTCTGCTTCAAACTTGTTGGGTATCATTCAAAAGGGTCATATGTGACATATTATATCTCAAACACTCTCCAAGAACTGCTGAATAACTTTTAGAACATCAAAGCTGTTTTCTACCGTCCACGAACGATAACGTTAATAACCCAAACGAAGCGACGCCACGCAGGCTCCCAAAGCAGAAGCTACAGCCCCGCCTTTGGAACGGAGGCGTGCACGCGGACGCCCCGGCAAGACAAAACAAAAGCAGCCGGCGAGCGCGCTCACGCTGCGTTAAACACTCAGAAGGAAATGGATTTATGAATAAATCAGAGGAGATTGTCGGTCTTAAACCCGCCCCCAGCACGGGTTATCTTGACCACATACAACGTGTGACCTCACTGGAAAAGTCGCATGACAACGATGGTTTCTGTAAAGTTTACCACACAAGGACAGTGCAGGTTTTTGTCCCTGTCCTGCACACTGTGTGAACTCAGGTCCACAGGCAGCCTGTGCAGGCTATTCATTAGTATGGGGTTCAGTGGGATTCTGTGGTGCTTTAACAGTGTTAAACTAGTCTATTGCCACCTTTGTGTGATTCAACCAGCATATACCAGAGACCAGTTATCTCTATTTCTCACTCTGATTGGCTGCTGTAGAAGTTACTGCTTCCTCTCTGCTCTGTGTTTTTTAATCTTTCAGACCAGGAAACCATCTCAGCTCAGTCTGGGCAGAACGTCACTCTGACATGTCAAGCTTCAAACAACACCATCCCAGTTGTGGAGTGGAAAAGAGCTGATCTGGGAGAATATGTAATTTCATATCGGGATGAGCAGTCTGATCCAGAGGAGCAGCATCCAACTTTTAAGAACCGGGTGGATCTGCAGGACAGAGAGATGAAGGCTGGAGACGTGTCTTTGATTCTGAAGGATGTGACGGTTAATGACGCTGGAACATACGAGTGTCGTGTTGCCCAGAAATCAGGAGAATCAATGGGGCTTCTCTGCAACATCACACTTAGTGTTGTTGATCCTCCAGGTGAGTGAGCAGAGTTGAGTGTGTGTGTGATCAGAGGTGAAGCTGCTTCCTGGTTGTTGATGTTTGTTTCTAAAGATGTTGTTGATGAGACTTTGTAGAAAGCAGCTGGTCTGAGTGATGTGATCAGAGTGCAGTAGATAATGTCTGACAGCAGTTTGAAGAGGAAATGGATTCTGTTCTGTTCTTCACTCATCACCTACCTGACAGCTGACACCTCACACCTGTTTCTCACCTGCAGGTCAGCCAGGAGGACACACAGAGGATGGAGGGAAGGAGGCAGAAGAGAAGGAAGCAGGAGGGAAGGAGGATGGATCTGTTGCACTAAAAGTTGGTCTTCCAGTTGCTGCTGTTGTTGTTGCTTTTGTTGCTTTTGTTGCTTTTGTTGGTGTCGTGATCTACAGAAAATGTAAACAACAGAAGCAGGGTTCTTTCCAGCCTCCAGCTGAACAGCAGCATGTTTGTAATGTTTCTGTTTTTTTTCCGGATGATCTGAGTCTACGTCCACACGTACACGGGTATTTTTGAAAACTCAAATTTTTCTTTTTTTTTTTCTTTTTTTAAATCCCGTCCACACATGCGTTTTTTAAAAAGGTCTCCGTTCACATGCGAACGCCAAAAACAAAGTCAAACGCTGTCAAGAACATGCCACATCCTAGCCATGTAGAAATGTTGGCCAATCAGAAGTCTAGAAGCCTGGGAGCGAAAGAGTAAGCTGTAAGGTTTTATGCAAACTTTAAGAATTTTAAGTTATTGTGTTTTTCTGGTAATTTTGATACATATATTTATATTACAAAAGCGTCTGACATTTATTATATATAGCTTTAAGCACTGCATGCATTTAACTGTATTGGAGCACACTGTATTTAATATATTTATTTTGACTACAGACTTCATTAGTGATGATGAGTAGGATTTTTTATTATATTGTAAAAATGAAATGTAATTGACTTCGATTCATACAATTGTTATGCTCCTGTTTCAGGGGGTTTGTGGTTCTAATGTTTCTACTGTAAAGATAAAGTGCCTTTTGATATGACTGTTGTTGTTTCCTGAATAAAACTGAAGCTGGAATCAAAGTGATCCATGTTTTGCTTGTTTCTTTTTTGTTTTTCTTGCAGTTTTCAGACAATTTTACTACAAATATTATTTTACCAATAAATATTAAGAATACATAATGACTCCCATAAACTGTGACAGAGTTCATAAACACAACAGCTGCTATAAATGTTGTAAAACATGTTTATGTTTTCATTTGTTAACCTGGTTGTTTATGACTGCAGAAAGAAAAAACAAAGGATTTAACTGATTTTTGTATTTGTGAAATGTCAGAAAAAGAGAGAGAATTGTTTTGTACTTTTTATTACTTTCATCAAAGTCAGAAGTATGCATACATTTCCTTAGTATTTGGTGGATTTGCCCCGAAATTGTTTCACTTGGGCCAGACATTTATGGTATCCTTCCACAAGCTTCCATCTATAATAGTTTGCTGGAGTCTTGACTCACTTGACAGAACTGGTGTATAAATAGATAAATCAAAGCTTTTGTGGGTCATTAAGACTGACAAAGTGGAGTTGTGGTGTAATGTCGGCATTACACCACAAGGGATGTTTAAAGGGGTGGGTGCTCAAAGTTACAAAGGGGCGCATTGAACCAGGCTGAATAACAGCAACACACATTCATGAAGAATCTAATATGGGATCACATCATACTATATTGCTGTTGTGAGGTGGCGACAAGGCAAAGCAAACGTAGCCGATGTTTTACCTGATGGGTACAATGTTGCTGTTGAGGGGTTTCTGCTGCTCCTGCTGCTGATAGTGCTGGAGGGCAGGGCTGTGTTGATCTGAGACTGTAGACATTAAAAAGTCCATAGGAGAGATGGTAGCTGATTAAACAAGTGTCATGAGATAATAACAAATGCAAAGATTGGTGAAAGCGCTTGGAACAAGGGCTGGGCGATATATCAAGTTTTTTTAAAAATATCGATATATTTTCATACGAGATATAAGATGTGACAATATCGTTTATATCAATATAGTATATGTTACATTATAAAATCCTTTCAGTTTCTCAAAAATCGACAGTGCACCTTTTGTATGAATTCTGGTTGTGCTTACTGACCGCAAACGGATTTTATGTGGTACACGGCGCTCAGCAATCTCTCAAAAAATGTTTTAGTACGACTTCGTTAAGCTACGGGGCTGCACCGCTTGATGGATTGTCGGAGCATTACAGCCAGAGGTGTGGACTCGAGTCACATGACTTGGACTCGAGTCAGACTCGAGTCATTAATTTTATGACTTTAGACTTGACTTGAAAAAATGTTCTAAGACTTGTGACTTGACTTGGACTTTTACACCAATGACCTGGGACTTGAATTGGACTTGAACCGGTTTACTTGAAAAGACTTGATATTTTACCCCAAATATAAAATTTAACATGCATATTATATAGAGATTGAAAATGTGACGTCATTCACGGGTAGAACCGCAAAGGATTCTGGGAACTCGTGGCAAGCGGTACTAGCGCACGCAGGCTTTCAATTAAAATCAGTCACACAGCGATAAAAAGAAACACAAAAATGTCAAGAAGCTGTTGTATTATTAACTGCAATAGCCGGTCGCATGACAGCCACGGGAAGCCGACGGGTAAAGAGATCGGTTGTTATCGGATTACGTCGTTGAAGAGAAATTGTTCGAGCCATGTTTCCGAAGTAACAAAGACACGACGGATGGCCTGGATTGCAGCCATTCAAAGATCAAATATAACGTCCCAGAACACTCCAGCTCACAGGTTAGTCTGCTCCAAGCATTTACACAAAGGTCAGTGTTTTTTAGTAGTTAATACGTCATTTTCATAACATAATTGGTGATATAGGTTACAAGCAAGTCTGGCGCTGAACAGAAATTGTCGCGCTATGCTCCTTTGTTTATTGTGCATAAATAGTGAATTGTCCTGACACAATATTGCGTTTCGCTTCTGTTATTATGGTACATTGACAAAAACATATACTTTTATTCACAGGATAAAACAGGTTTTTTGTATCACTAATTGCCCAGTGCGATTACAGCATACAATATTATTGTCACTGCTACATTTCTGTGATGCTACCAGAAATTATTTCCACTACTAATTAATTACCATTGAGCTCAAAGGTCCTATTAATAAACGGTTAAGGAATGTGTATTTATGACGACGATTTGTGAGACTGGTAAACTTATGATACGTACGATGGTCTTTCGTTCTACACGGTGCATTTCAAGGTCCTGCACCCATCCGTCGGTAAACTGTACCTGGGCTTGTTGCAGTGACCTGAAGTTACTAAACTTCATGAGTGTATGCACTCACTCCAAGAACCGTATAATTATAAATATGCATATAAATATGCTACGATGAGATAGCTGACTTCATCTAACTAGCAAATGTTGTCCAGGCTACGTTGGTGATGCAGTTTTTTTTAATATGTATGATATTTTTGTCATGCGATTTTAAAGCCGGTCCTACAACCGCATCCAAGAATAACATGCAGCTTATCTCAGAACTGTCGGTGAAAATTATTCTTGGAGCTAGGTTTAATTGAGCTGCATTTTAAAGAGGTGCAATTTCACAATTTGTGTATATTTTCTAAGTTCACTATTTTGTCATGTGTTGAGAAAAACACAGATTTTAAAATTACATGGTCTAATATTTACATTTAGCATAACTGCAACATTATTTTTTTATTTTTTTTAAAGACTCGAAAGGACTTGAAATTCAAAGTTTCAGACTTGTGACTTGACTCGGACTTTTACACCAGTGACTTGAGACTCGACTCTGACTTGCCTGACATTACTTGAGACTTGACTTGAGACTTGCAAAACAATGACTTGGTCCCACCTCTGATTACAGCTACTGTAGTCTGGTGCTTCGCGGAGTGATACGTACTGTACTTCGTAATATTACCGTATTGTGTGTGTAAGGGCCATAAATGGCACCTGTTAAGAGACATGGTTACAAAGAGGATTTCAAACTCAAGGCTGTCAGTCAAGCAGTAGAACTCGGAAATAGAGCAGCTGTGAAATCTGTCTCTTTGTTATTATGCTCAGCGTCTATTAGTTTACATTTTGACTGCACAATTGTGAGCTTTTTGTTATGCACAAAAACAACATTGTTTTCTTTTATTTATGGACCATGATTATTTAATAAATGCTGATAATTTATTTTTGAGTAATTTCTTCATGTACATCTATGCTGTATGTAAATAAAAGTGCCCGTGTGACATCTGGGACACAGTGTGACTAAGAACTCTCTTTTTGTTCTTAACTTATGGCTTTAAAAAAAATATCGAGATATATATCGTATATCGCCATCCAGCTAAAAAATATCGAGATATGAATTTTGGGTCATATCGCCCAGCCCTACTTGGAACCATAACGCAACAAAAAACTGTGAGAAATAAACTAGGTCCTGCCTGTGAATCAATCTTTGCCTCTTTTCCTCCTTCCATCTCCTCATCTCATATAACACTCTCAACTTGCTGTCCATCTGAGAACAAGACACAAACTGCAACACACTACAGTGTACGCTGTACACCTACTTACTGGTTTTGTTACATTAGTCCGTTTCTCTGAGGTAATTTGTGTTTCTGCTACAGCTCCAGACCACCCAGGCAGAAAAAAATGTGCGTGCTCTTTGCGAGCTCATTCCACTCATAACGAGTGCGTTCTGCCGTCAAGGGCGATCATTGGTTAATGACGATCATGTGACTGATGCAAGCCTGATCGTTTTATGTAGCAAAAACTATGATTAATTGATAATATAATTTTTGAGAGGCACAGACAGGACTCCACAAGCACAAACGCATTAAAAAAAAAAGTTGCCTCAAAGGGCACTTTGGGCTCCTATCAGTAAAAGGGGGTGGGCCCATCCCCCCTTTCTCTCTCTGACTCCTGCTGTAACTACCGCCCCTCCCCCTTTCTCTCTCTCTCTCACTCCTGCTCTGTTCCTGCCCTACTGCAAGTGTAACTACCACCCCTCCCCCCTTTCTCTCTCTGACTCCTGCTGTAACTACCGCCCCTCCCCTCTTTCTCTCTCTCTCTCACTCCTGCTCTGTTCCTGCCCTACTGCAAGTGTAACTACCGCCCCTCCCCCCTTTCTCTCTCTCACTCCTGCTCTGTTCCCGCCCTACTGCAAGTGTAACTACCGCCCCTCCCCCTTCTCTCTCTCTCTCTCTCTCTCTCTCACTCCTGCTCTGTTCCCGCGCTACTGCAAGTGTAACTACCACCCATCCCCCCTATCTCTCTCTCCCTCCTGCTCTGTTCCTGCCCTACTGCAAGTGTAACTACCACCCCTCCCCCCTTTCTCTCTCTGACTCCTGCTGTAACTACCGCCCCTCCCCCTTTCTCTCTCTCTCTCACTCCTGCTCTGTTCCTGCCCTACTGCAAGTGTAACTACCGCCCCTCCCCCCTTTCTCTCTCTCACTCCTGCTCTGTTCCCGCCCTACTGCAAGTGTAACTACCGCCCCTCCCCCTTTCTCTCTCTCTCTCTCTCACTCCTGCTCTGTTCCCGCGCTACTGCAAGTGTAACTACCGCCCCTAT